AAAAAAACTTAGAAAATGATGATTCCTGCTGGAGATACGAACTGACACTGCTGCCATCCATAGAGACAACTGGATCCACAGCTTAGGGATGCAAGAGCACCCATCTTCCAGGAGGAAGAGCAGCTGACACCTTTCGGGGATCCTTGAGGACATTCAGAGTTTCACCAGGGGAAGGGCTGACCAGTCTTTCCAGTAGTGCAGAGATCTGCTTGCACTAGATTTCTAGAACGTTCACCTCAGCAAGAAAAAGTATGATGTGGCAGCCTGTTCGTAACTTTAAAGTCATAACTAAAGCATGCTTTCTCTCCTTACCCACCTGGCCACAGACAAACCATGGTTAGGCCAGCTGCTTATGTCTGCTGTGGTACTCTGGATTTTTCCTATCAGGGTAACACTGGCCGGAGCGACACTGAGAACCATGCAGGGGTAGCAGCTGCTTGTCCTCCATGTACCCTGAAATACCAGCTCTGATGATCAGTAGTGGAAAAAGATAACTCTTAACTGTGAGCAAAAAATTTCATTCTCCATGTCACTGGCTGCATCTTTCACTGGATTACTTACAACTGAATACAATATATATATATATATATGTGTGTGTGTGTGTGTGCATATAGCTTTCTGAGTAACCTTATAAAAAGAACCTTTGGACATTTGAGCAATCTTGCAGAAAAATCAGGCTCAAAATAAAGATTAAATGTTGTAAGATTGCGACTCTATGAAACTGTACCAGCTACCAACCTCCTACACCTCCAACTCATTCATTAAAGGAAATTGGGGTTTCACACTTTGTGGAAATGTGTAAAGGGCCAAAAGACAAAGTAAATGTCTATTATTCAAAAGAGTGGAGAGAAAAGAGGACACTGGATGATGAATTGGGAGACAGGGAAGACCTGCTTTCCCCTCCAGATTCCGGAGCCAGGTAGACACGCCTGCACGCTTCCGAAGATTTCATTATACTGCAGGTAGCACACTTGAGGGAATGGTTATGCCAGAAACGCCACAGCCACAATGGAAATATAAACGCAAGAAGGGGCTCATAAAAGACGAGAAATTATTCTGGGCCTGAAGGAGGTTCAGCGAACAGACTCAATGTGGTATTTTTTTCTCTGTGTTCTTGTAAAACAAACAAAAATCAACTGTCAATAAATAATCCACGAGAAGCGTGTGTCTGTTTTCTAGACCCCACACAGCCGAATGCTTAGCCTCGGCTGTATATCTGCAGGCACGCTGTAGGCAAAGATCTGAAACTTCAGCATTAGACACCGGGGTTTGGAGGCCCTTCTGATGGGAACTGCCCATACAGGAAAGAGGCTGGAAGCCGTCAGTAAGGATCATCACGGATATCCCTGCGTCCCACAGCCGAAAGACCCGTCCTCAGGTACCTGGGTAAAGCAGCACGGTGCAACTGTGAACGCAGGGGCCAAGCTGCTTTGCTTGTATATTTACCCACGAACCTGAGGTCGGTCGTATTTCCAATGTATTTCTTAACTTCTCTTTCCAGGGTTTTTGTTCCAAGCACTAAAAGTGATAGGCATTTGTTTTTGTGATAGCCACATAGTGTATAATTTTAGTAGTTAGTTGGAAAAAAATCTACGTTTTTCTACAGAACACAAGGAAAGAAAATGGAATGTACCTTACATGCACTTAGGAAAGGAGTTGAAATAAGTAGATAACCAGAGTTATAAAAGAAGTCCTCCATGAAGTGCAGCCATGCCGAAATCCCTACTGCTGTATTTCTGATTCCTGCCAATTTTCAAACGGCCCCTTGGTGGTTCCTACTCAGTCAGTTCTTCTTCCTGTGTGTCCCAGCTTGACACGATGTGTGTAGTGAGTTTTTTCTTCATACCAGAGAGAAAGAAAGCAGAGGAAGTGCTGTCTCGCCTGAGAGGACAGACAGAAGAGGCACCCCTGAAGGAAGGAGAGGCTGACAGGTTACGGCGCACATCTGGCCATATTGATTCACAAACTTCTTTGCAGCCACTGTTTATTGAATGCGTATTATGTGCCTCTATGATCATCCCACAGGTTCTTGAGGTAAACTCAGCTCTTGAAGTCAAGAAGAGCTGCTGTAGCAGGTGAGAGAACCAAAGCTAAAGGAGCATAAGGACGGCCCTACAGGAACAAGAGGGAACTCAGCACACCCAAAGTGGTCACCCCATTCAGCGGCCAGCGGAGGAGGAAGAACAGGAAGTCGCTGACTCTCACAGGAACTGTTCAGCCCTGCTTCCCATTGCACCCACTGCCCACATATTGACAATGAAATCACAAAACTAACATAAGTCACCTAGAAAAGTCAAGTTAAATGTTTGAAACCTTACGTTAAAAAAGGAGGGGAGGGGAGGGGAGGGGAGGGGAGGGGAGGGTCGGAGAGGAGAGGAGAGGAGAGGAGAGGAGAGGAGAGGAGAGGAGAGGAGGGGAGAGGAGAGAGGGAAGGAAAGTATAAAGCATGCTGCGTCTGCCCACCGGGCATTCCATTCCTTACTCAGCTGCCTGCAGTCTCTTTATGAGCAGAAAGCAGCAGAACCCATAGAAATAAAGAAATGGATCTCAAAGATGCCAAACTCACCCAAGGAGTTGGTCTTATTTGAAACTGAACAATGTAAACAACTCAAAATTTGGTTCTACAGTTTCTAGTTTATTTGGAGATCTTCAAAGATCCTCATTATTCTCAACCCAACAGACTCCCCATCTATATTTAGATCTGAAAGTGCTTCACCGCCTGACCTTGTTCCAGACAACTGTCAGTTACATTTCCTGGCCCATCAGCTTCAAATAAGAAGGACTTCATCAGCTCAATATATTATTAGCACAGTGTTTTCCCTAATAGCATCTAGAAGTATAACAAAGAACAAAAGTAAATCCCTAAGGAATGAAGAGAAAATTCATTTATACTAGGCAAAAGGCCATCACATCAGGACTGTTTTCGGCAAGGGCCAGGAACGGTACGGTCTACCTTGACCCAGCTGAAATGCAGCGGCCACCAATGCCAATGTGTACTCACTCTGCTCCATCTATGTGCAGATGGTGGTTGTCAGAACTGCTGAGTAAATAACTCCAAAGCCAAAACAGAGTTTATTTTCTGCTAATACATGCCTTCACTCCCAACTGCAGTGTTTTCTCTATTAGGGATCATTCAGCTGCAAATCACAAAACAAAATTCTTGATTTAAGTAGAAGGAAAAGTCAGGGCTGGGAATGGCGCTCAGCGGTACAGCGCCTGCTGGCTGTCAGGTGTCAGGGCCTGGGTTCGATCCTCGGGCAGGTGGGGGGGGGAGAAAAGTCATTATTTCTTACAATCTGCACGAGTGTTGTGCTAGGGCTAATTAAGTCAGCGGCTCAGCAAGATCATGGACACTCATCTCTCCAGCGTCCCCTGCTCATTGAGTTTTTTGTGCGCCCTTAGGGTGCCCATGGTCACATGCACACCCAGTAATTTTCAGCTAAAAATATACCATCCTCTTCCCTCTGAATCTCTTATTAGCAAAAAATACCGTTCTCCAGCAGACTTCTCACATATGAGACGGAGTCACATGCCTTCACTGACAGCCAGAAGGGGACCAGGTGGCAGCAGGATGAAAGCCAGGCCCCAGCACCCTGGGACCAGAGCCTCACAGTAAAGGGGAAGAAAGTGAGGGACAGGCTAGTCTCAGGTCAGGCAAACCACGCACGCCTGCTGGGGCTCTGTGTTTACCTTTATTGAAACACGTGGTCTCTGAAAGGTAGGAATGACTGAAAGGGTCTGCCGTGACCTGGATGTGGTACATCCCCCAAATGTTCCTGTGTTGCAGGCTTGGCCCCTGCATGGGAGTACTGGGGTGGGGGAGGGGGGGAAGCAGCTTTCAGAGGTGGTCAGCACAAGGTCCTTAGGACAGGAAGATATCATTCTCAGGAGGGATTTTCACTGGACTCCCAGAGTGGCTTTTTCCTGAGAGAATGCATTGTTAGAAAGGGGCAGGTGAGAACTCCTCTGGTTTCCTCTCCTACCACACCAGCCCCTCTACACACACTCCTGCCAGCACGTGCTCCACCACGCTGTGACATGGTCAGCATCCCCTGCCGGAGCTGAACAGACAGGACCACTTGATCTTGGATGTCAGCCTGCAAAGCTGTGAGTGAAACAAGCCTCTTTTCCTTATAAAGTTCCCAGATTCAGGTATTGTTATAGTAACAGAAAATAGATCCTGTAGTAAAAGCATCCATGAATAATTGTAAACAGCAAAAAAGACCCCCACAAGTAAATCACTAAAAATGAGTGCATGTTAATAAAAACTATTTTAAACTATCATATATGACTAAATGTAGGCCACTCTTATAAACTAATTCTTGCTAATATGGTTGGAGAACAAATAAACTGCAAACTACCTTTCTCTAAACCTTATTATGTGTGTTAGCCTTCCATCCCTGTGACAAAATCCCTGACATTTACAGACTTAAAAAGAAGAAAGGCTGATTTTGGTTCATGGTTTCATGGGCTGCAGTCCACAGTAAACTGGCTCCAGGGCTTTTAATCCTGCAGCAAGGCAGACACATCATGGCAGATGGGCGGGCTGGCGGAAGAAAGCTGCTCACCTCATGGGGGCCAGGAAGCCGAAGAGAGGAAGAAAGCTCAAGAGGAAGGAGCAGGGGATCAATTAAGTCCCCAGGTCACATCTCAATGCCCCAGTCTCTTCAACTAGGCCCCACTCCTATTTCCAATACTTCCCACTGAGGTCATCAAATGATGCTCTCATGAGTGGATTAATCTACTGATGAAGTTAAAGCCCTCGTGGTCAAACCACATCTTGCACCCCAGCTCTGAACTCTGAGTGGTCAATCCATGGGCCTTTGGGGGACACTTCCTAGTGAAACCATAGCACTGGGCCAAGACTGTCAGCTTAAGAGCTGTCTGCAATGAAAATACATCTGGCAGCTCTGGTTCTGTGGTGCAAAGTATGAAATCCGTGACAGTCATATTCAGTTTCCTTCACTCAATCACCTTAATCAACAGACAATCAAAGCGAGCCAGGAATGGACAAACTTCTTTTTATTCCATAGTTATTTCATTAGGCTTTTTATATAAAACATTACAGTCAGATAAACATCGGAACCTTCATGGGTTAATAAAAAAGAAGAAATTAAACTTTTATCTCATAAAAGGAAACAAAGACTACTTTGTGTTTCCTTCACCTTCATTACTGCCCTGTTTCTATCAGCATGTCTCTCTGTAGAAGATGCACATACAAACAGCAGAAATTTTATTTTATTGCTGTTTCTGTCTCAAAGACAAAACAAGAAATGGATTTGCTATTTAAATACTTCTCTGTCTCTCCCAGCCCCCTGTGTAGGCTTCCATTCTTGTTCGACCTCCTGCTCTCAGGGAAGTAGCTGCAAAGCAACTTTCACCCTCTTTAAAATAAAATGAAATAAGCAAGTTTACCAGCTCTCTCTCTTACTTGTAGCTTGAACTATGAGTGCCGCTAAACACCACCCAGCCTCTGAGATACAGCACCTCCGTTCACACTTCTCCTTCCTTGCCCGTCTGCCTGGGCTACAGCTGCTTTCCTGCGCTCCTAACCTGACTCCTCATCCCCACCAGCAAGCCCTGTGTTCCCTTTTATCTCCTACCCTGGCATAGGCCTCTAGCGGCCCCATTCTGCAAACTGCCTGAGACGTCTCCCTGTCCTTCATTAGCTGCCCAGAACCTGAAATGGGGGTCCCCTTGCCTACCAGGTCTGCAGTGCACCTCTTCTTCCCACCTTCACTACAAATGCTGTGAAGTGTGAGCGATTATGAGCTACCAGGCTCGCGCAGCGGCCTCCCTACTGCTCCAAGGACTCAGCCTCCTCCTGCCTCTCGAAAACCTTGTTTCTTTTTTTCCTGGCAGGGTGACTTCTCTTTTTTAAATAATTATTTTATTTTTATTAACAGGTATTAGTTGCACATATTGATGGGTTCCAAGTGATATTTCCACACAGTATGTACAGAGCATGCAGGGATCAAATCCTCCTCCAGGATCAAATCCAACCAGCAGAGTAACCTTTCCACAGCATGAATCCGATCGTGTCATCTCTGATGGCTCCTACAAAACGAGATCTGAACTCCCTAAGGAAGGTTACTCACGGGCAAGGGGAACTACTTGCACCTCCTCACTGACTCCCCAAGGCGGCTTCTCCTGCTGCTCCCTTGGCCTGGAAAATGCCTCCCTCTCTCTGTCCTTCCTTCCAGCATTCTCATTTTTAGCTCAAGTCTTTCCACTTCAGAGAAGCCTGTCCTAAGAACAGGCAGAATGAGAAGCACCCTCATTTGGTTCCCATTAACTGCATTTTCTCTCTGTGGTTTTCTGTGATTATGGTGACTGTCTGTTTGCACAACTTCCCACCAGAAAGCAGACACACGGAGAGGAAGGTTCCTGTTTGCCCGGCTTTGATCTTCAACATGCAGGCCAGTGTTTCCTGCTGGATAACTTCAGTGAATACCTGTTCAATACACTGTGCACATTAATTCTAACAACCAAAATGAGAAGACAGCTTAAAGTCAAAGAGCCTTTGTGTGCACCACAGTTAGCAATTTTCATCTGTCTAGAAGGAGCAATGAATGAACTCTACTTTTAAAGTAAAGTTCTAGGAATAATGCAGACCTTTACTAACATGAGCTGGGTGTTCTAAGCAATTTCTTGCTTAGGAAATAAGAATATTTTTGCAATAAATATTTAAAAGGACTGGTATTGATATTAATATTAATAACTCATATCTTTATAACATTAGACATCAGGTAGTATGCTAAGTGCTTCTAAAATATTAATAACTATTAATTAGGGTGCTGAAAAATTTATTCAGACATAACTAGGTAATTTGATGGGGTAGTTAACAATAACTGCTGGGTCTCCTAAGGCTAGTTTCCTGTATCTTAATGGCTCTGTTTGACCACAGATTTTGTACTCTAGGAGCTTCATTCACACAATTTGTTTCCTTTTTCCTTGGAGCTCAACATTTACCTTCATATCTTCAAGAATGCACTTAAAAACTGATGGTTCCACAAATAACTCAAGAAATAATTTATTAGTGCATCACTCTGGCATGATGCTTAATTTGCCAGAAAGTTAAAATTAGCACTTAGCACTGCCCTTTAATATTCAGGGTGCCTCAGATGTCTAATAAATCATAAGTTTGAAACCAGACCAAAGGATGGATGGGCTTTCAAAACAACCTGAGCCACAGCTGCCACTCTGTGTCCATGTCCAGATTAATTGCTGATGCACCAGGTAAAATATGGTGAGCCATCGTGAAGATGGGTGTCTGCAGGGAGGTCTCCTGAGGTTTCTTCTCAGCAAATGTAAAGAAATGACCTGAGAGCTCCAAGTATCAGTTGCTTTTCTTTTTTATTAGGGGCATATAAAAGAGAAGACCAAGCCTTTTCTTTTTAGAAAGTACATTTCATCCAAAAAGAACACAGAGCACTGGAGTACAAAAAGGACAATACTGACATTTAAGATACAGCGTTTAACAAATTAAAGGTTCTGCTTTTCAAGATCGTTACACTTTCTAGGTTGGGTACCACAAGTCCTAGGGTAGTCTCAGTTGTCTTCTCTGTCTTAACATAGTAACTAAGAGATCTGGCTGTTCCAGATATACCGTGGACACCACAAATGATATCACTCCACTTCTGTGTCACAATGTAATAACCAAACACTCTGCACTCAGATCTCATTAAGCTATTTGATGATTCTGAACAATGAAAATGTTCAGCTGCCAAAATCTTCAAGTAAACAAGAATATCTATACATTCTTCTAGCAGGTAAACTGTTTTTTCCTGCTCTCTCTTCTAATATGCTTGAAACAGACTCATCTTAATCAGTGTAAGCAGAGAAGAAATTTTTCTTAATTATCTTCCTGTCAGCCTGTGCAAAAGAGACATGACAAAATTTGGGGCCTGCCCACCACAAAAGAGACATTCGTGTATTACACGGTATCAGTTTCTCATAACAATGGTTTTAAATGAGTCATTTCATAGACCTAGACTTCTGTCAGTCTGGGATATTTTTGTGCTCATTATATTTTTACCAGAGCTCTCAAATAGAAATCAAAGGAGGAGGAATAAAATTAAGAAAGGAACCAAACCAGCTTATATTGCACACAAAGAAAGCTCAGTAGCCACCAATATTAATTTACTGGAAAATATGTTGGAAATATTGGTTAAAATTAAATAACAAGAGTAATATCAAGATTATATTTTTCCTGGTTTACTTGGATCCATGACTTAAAATAGAAAATTTACAATGTTTGATTCAGGGTGTCTTTACTCTGTTAAAATTTGCTGACAGTTCCTCTTTTTGCCCAAGAACTTTGGTTTATGTGGGTTATGTTTATAAATATTTAGTAACTTCAGGTAACTGTGGATATTGTTTGATATTACATCAAAACTCAGTAATAGTTTCTTCCAAGTTGGTTGCTATGTAAAACCTTGAAGCCTCTCAATGAATCTTCATCCTCTACTTTCGGATCTTTCTATCATCTTGAACTTTTTCATTAGCACGTTTGCAAGAACTCGGCAGACGTGCATAACACACCTTCATCCCTTCATGCCCTGCTCCTTCCCTGCCTCCTCCCTGGACCCCTTCACATCTGCAGAGCATCTATCTCCCTGCTTGCTGTGTACTTGGAATTTTGCTCTTTAAATTCTTCATATTTTTGAATGTCTCATATAAGACAAACCACGTGATAGGCAGACGGTATGTCTGATTTATTGCGGTTAACATTATGGTCTTAAGGTACATCCATTTTCCTACAAATGACTCACATTTATCCTTTTTATGGCACAACTGTATATATCACAGATTTCTTGAACTTTGATAGGTCTTTTCTTCAGGTGTGACTCTGAAGCATGCGTTGGTCATTTTAAAAATACCGATTCCCTGCGTTATAGAGATTATCCAAATTTTGATAACAGAGTCACAATATGACATTAAAGAATATGTTCATTAATCTCTTACCCATCTCACAAGAAAAATCTTTTAAGTATGGATTGGCAAGGAGCAGGAATAAACTTCAGGGCTGATGGGATCTTTAGTACCCCGAGAGTCATGACAATTTCAAAGGTACACATCATAATGGAATTCACTGTTCTCATCTGTGCTATCTAGCTTTGTTTGAAGAATTTCTTATAATAAAAAATGATGAGAAGTCTAAGTTTTGGGATGTTATAGAGCTCATATTAATAAACTTGAGATTTGCAAAACTCTTGTTTTTGCTTGAAAGCTTGAGTTTCATCATTAGCAGTAAGTAATATCAGTTGCTATACCTTAATGTGACAGGCTCACTTACTTTCAAGAAAATGTATGTCAATATTCAAGTCTGAAAATGACAGTTTGTCAGTTCTTCATTTAAAAAAAAACCTGTGTTGAGAAACAAAATGGCTACTTTAGCTGGTAACTTTAGCAGTCACTGTGACGCTTCTCTGCAAATCAACCTCCTACTTCAACACGCAGCACAAATGTCTTACAGATTTTTCCATTTTTGTATGCAGAATAAAAAAAGACATAAATCTAACTCTACTTTAAAAGAATTTAAGACCCAACAAAAGTATAGCCTTGTGAACTATTAGAATAGTAAATCATTTATAAGATAAACACACTGATACATCTTTTTCTACTGCAAAAAATAAGTGAAAAAGTGTTCAAACACCTATCTGTGAACAATAGCCCTTTCTCTTAAATGGACCTTCGAGTGGGCATATGGCATTTAAGCAATATAAATATTCTCAAGCTAAATACTGTATGATTAATCATTTAGCAGACAAAGGTCCACGTTCAGTTACACTAGAAAGCTCAGAGGTTTTTGTCCTGGAATGCCGTCCACCCCATGGGAGGTGGGGTGCTGATGTGTTTCTCCCTCTACCCTTTCCTCCTCCAAGCAGTGGGCCAGTTGCACCGACCTACACTGTCCTCCACACGGAGATCCTAGGGCCCACACATTGCCACCGGGCACAACATGCAAGTGGCCAACTGGATGCCCACCAACTCTGCCTCAGACTCGAGGGTGAGGACACAAAGGGCAGGACACCAGCATCAAAGCTGAGGGCCCTCAGTCAGAAGCAACTCCAGCCCCGGCTGCATCACAGAAAGTCTTCTCCATATGGCTAAAACCACCTTCCAGGGATAGAACTAGAAACCCCTGGGCGAAAAACATGACGAGCTTGTTAAGACTAATCCCATTGCTCTAAAATGTCCAGGTCTCTGAAGATGACTCTCAATATGGAGGACTATCTAGATGCAATTAATTCATCACTTCCACTCACTCCGAATTCTCCTTACTGTTTCAGTCCATAAATTCTGAGCCTGGTACAGTGTTATACACTCTAAATGGACGTGGATACAGACTGAACAAAATACATGCAACTCCTGACTTGCAATAGGTCAGCTTACAAAGGGCTTGCGCTGTATAGCATAACACCGCTACCTGATGCTGGGCCATCCCAAGGGGAAATACTGGCACTCCACACACCCAGGACTGCGCTTCGAGTGCATGTTTGGAACAAGTGCTCACTAAATTACATGAGATATTCAAAATAGATTTTGTTGGATGATTTTGCCCATGTTTAAGGTGGGCCAGGCCAAATGATGGTGTTCCCAAGCTTAGGTATATTAAATGTGTTTTTTACTTAGGATAGTTTCAGCTTGCCATGTATCTATCATATCAACTCCGTCATAAGACAAGGAGCAAAGCAGTGATGAGTGTGACTTACCTGTGACCCTTTTCCTATTCTATCAGCAGCTCTGAAACCTCCCCATTGCCTCTTCTGCTGCGGTCAGAACTGACTTATGTCTTATCTTTACGGCACAGTCCGGTGTTCTCATGTTGAGTACTAACCCGTTTTCAGCCCACACTTGTCACTCAGGCTCCTGCAGGACACATTCGTTGCCTCAGTGTGCGAAACTCAGCCCTTTGCCAGTGGCTTGTAAATGCAAACCTAGTAACCTCCCACAGGGTAGCTTCCTCACCCACTGACACTGTCAGCTTAATCACAGATTAACCAAGGTGTTTCCTATCACCATCACCTCCCCCAGCCTGCTTCCCCCACTGCAAGTCACACCTTTTGGTCTAGGAAATCTCCTTCCTCTACAGTCTGTTTCCCATACAAGTCCGCTGAACTTTGCTCCTACTCATCCCCGCTCTCCCAGGAAGTAAAATCACGAGCTTGTCCACCGGAGCCCACATTGTTATGGACAAGCCCTCTTCCTGCTCTTTCCTCCCTCTCTATCTCACAGTTGTAGTCCTAGCAGCGCAATGACCAGATCACTCTTAAAGACTATGTCTTATTCTGCTCTGTATCCCATAATACCTGAGAGCAGGAGGTGTACTCTACAAACTCGATAATGTGCAGTAACATTGACTTAGGAATAGTAGGCCCAAAATACTGGAGTTCCCAGAAAATCATTCTGTTTCCACCTCTGCTTACAGAAGTTACAAAAGAAAGACACAGATCTGATAGGTGGGTGGAAGGATGGATAGAGAGACATAAGTGTCTCCTAGACCTTTCCAAATTCCCCATGCCTTGCATATGGTACACACGACAGCTAAAAGTAAACTAGTCTTGGAAGCATGAGATCAGTCATCCACCTTCCCAAGGGTGTCACTCGGTCAGCTGCCTAAGGAAACATAGATGGAACATGGCTTCCTGGGGGAAATTAATTCACCCAACTCCAGTAAGGCGCTCAGACAGAACGGCTTTCATAATCCTAGGATACTGGGACCATATTTCATTCCTGGCTTACCTGGAAGCACTGGGATTTTTATATTTCTTCCTGTATTTGAATTTGAGCTGATTAGGTATGCAAGGAGTTGTAGCCTAATAACAAATGAGCATTGTATCACTCGAAGTTTTGATTATGAAACCACTAAATGTTGTTTTTCCTTGTATTTGAAAACATGAGTGTTGCCTCCAATCTTAGCAAAGTACCCTAATCCTGGACATGAAGGCATAAAATGGTGGGAGACGTGAGGTGGGAGGCACCATGGGAATGGGACAGAGGCCATGAGCACAACAGTGTCACAGGGGGCATGCACACAGATGCACTCAGGGACGAGCAGAGAGCCTACGTGAGCTCAGCAGATCCGTCCAAGAACAAACAGATGAGGAAAAGCAGCTAATTCCTCCACCCAGGCTCCCCCAGTACCCTGCCAAAAATGTGAGGCCAGTGAGCCACACCTTTGACTGTTTGGAAGAGAGCAGAAACCCACATTTACATAAAATCACTCCAATTTTAGCAAATCATTCTCTCTCTATATATATATAAGCAATAAGCCAATCATATACAACAGCTGGGCTGATAAAGTATCTTTAAATTCACCATTGTTTTGTTTTTCTGAGACAGGGTCTCCTTACATAATTAGGTTGACCTCAAATTTGCAGTGATCTCCTGCCCCAGCCTCCCAAGTGCTGGGATTACAGGAGTGCACCACCACATCTGGATTAAATTCAAATTTGTAAGGAATCAAGAAGTGTCAACGCCAGCTCCTCACAGATGAGGACGACTTGTTGCCAGTTTCTATCTGGTTCAAACAAAAACACTCTGCAGGCCCGGGGCTAGGACACCCACAAACCCACAGAAGGTGTGCAGTAAGAGTGAGACAAGCTCTGAAAGAACTCAGAGCACACAGGAGGAAGCCGAGTGCCACAAAAGCCCAAACACACGACAGCACTCACACCCAGCAGCTTTAAAACATGGACAGAACTTGAAAAATTCACTATACGGAAATTCTGAAAAACATCAATGAAGGACTAGTCCCATGAAGCAAAGACCAGAACAGGAAAATGCAAACAATGAATTGGAAATCTTTTGTATATATATATGTCATTGATTGTTTTTAAAATGCCCTCAATGGTTTCATAGAGAAAGCTGAAAAGAATGAGCAACTTGGAATCCAGCCCTCTCCCAAAATGCACCATTAACAAATCAAGAGGAAATACACAAATTCAATGAAAGCTGAATTTCCTCCCCAAGACTCTCACAAAGGAGTCTACATACAAAGTGTGTTCTTATTTTAATGTAACACAAGCAGATATAATAAGGAAAATATATAAAAGCACTCTTCTGATGAAACAACAAAATAATTTAATAACAAAGTAAGAAAATAACAATAGCTGACATGCTGCACACTGTGTATACTAATAGTAAAAGAAGTTATTCAGAGTATAAGACATAGACAAAAGACTCTCTCTCACAAAGAAGCAAAAGACAGATAATAGGGATAGCACCACACTTTCTTTTCAGTGAACTAAGAGAGACTGGTAGAAATGCAATCAATTAGTATACATAAAAAGTTTTATAAAAATTTTCAAGAAGTTTGCAGAATCCCTGGAGCCCAACTTCTACCCTAGAATTTTCAGTACAAAATATCTTTTAAGAGCTGAGTCTACTAAGTTTGATAAAATATTGCTTAACCCAGTACAAAGTAGGGTGACCACAGCTGACAATAATTTATTGCAGATATCAAAATGGGCTGGAAGCCAGGGTTTTGAATGTACCCAGTAAAACAAGATGATAAATGATTTAGATGATGGATGTGCTCACTGCCATGATTTGGTTGTTACAACCAAATAACCTTCTGCACAAATATTATGTGCCAATTTAAAAAACATTGGTTCAAGGCTCAGGAACAGACATTAAATCTGAGTCCTGATCAACTCAAAGTCAACCGAACTCACACAGCGCTAAACGTTCTGTTACAATCAATAGGCAGCTAAGCTTGAGAAAATCAGTGCGCAAAATAAAGAACTCCAGTGTGTGTTAAACTTTGTTAATTATAGCATAAAAATTATTTTAGATGCAGGTATCATTTTAAAGCTCAGACTGGCATCACGAAATGTGACAAGAAAAAGTCAAGAATATTTTTGAGTTAGGCAATTTTAAAAGGTTACATGACTGGTATGAAGGTACAAGAATGGTGGCGTTTGAAAGGAACCGAATTACCCAAAATTAGAAAAGGGTGAGAGAGAGAAGAAGCCTGCGGGAAGGTCTTTAAGAAACAGCCTATACTAAGGGGAATCACAAACTGCGTTAGGAAAAGGCAGAGGGGACACTGGTGAGGGGGCTCCGGTGGCCAACGCCAGGCTACAGGGCGAGGCGAACAGAGCCCCCTGCTGGCACCGCGCGCTGCACAACGCCCACCTCACCTCGCCACATCCACACAGCCTTGGGTTTTTCCTTTTAAATGGGAATGAGAAAAGCAATGAAGCACCGTATCCCTGTCCTAGACTGGCCTAAAGTAATTACAGAGATGATTAGGGATGCTAGCCAAATTCTGTACTTTAGAAAAAGAACTGGAATTTGCCTTTTGCAATAACCCGAACTTCAGAAATGTTTCATTCTCATCAAAAGTTGGATGGAAGCTAGCTCTCTCCCGTAGATTCCAAAAGCATGAAAATCCTCCTTAAAATAGACTTGAGATGTTTCAGGATATAAAACGCAAATGACATACGGAATATCTTCTGTTTCAGATAGCTGTTTGGAAGATAAAATAAGGGCTTCTCTGGGATTCTGTAAATGAGGATTTGAAAATAAAATTGTATCTCTTGAACGTTTTTAAATGCTTCAGTAAACTTCAATGGTAAAACTCTTTAAGGAGGCATATATTGTACAGCCACAGGTTCCCTTTGAGGCGGTGTGGAAAGCACTGCGTTGATTGAAGACCTTGAAATATTTAGACACATATTTATCTTCTTTGGGCATCTTCATTTTACTTTAAAAGCATGTAAGTCAGACATGGTGCAACTCAAAATTTCATGAGCACCACACTTTCTTTTCAGTGAATCCCTTTCTGGCTTGAAATAGTATTTTTGAATCGTATCAGAGCAGGCTCCCGTGAAACACACGCTGTCTGCAGAAGAGGGGACGGCCCCGACTCCGGGCGCAGGAGCTTCCCCGGGCACAGGCAGGGCACCTGGGAACAGCTTGTCGCTTGTCTCACCTGAAGGAGCTTCCATCAGGGGGCTGAAGCATTTATCTACAAATCTCGGCTTTTGCTCCAAGCACGCTTTTGTTACAAAAGAAAGTGAAGCCCTCGGTTTCTGCAGGCCAGCTGCACTTTCCCTTTTCAGAGTGGACCTCCCTGACCGGAGTCACTCTATTCCTGATTAAAAGAAGCAAATGCAACAAAGCTGCGCATGCGCAGGGCATGATCGCAAAGGCCTTCTGGGAGAAAATGCTTTCCTCTCCATCATGAAATGAAATTAAACTGAAATAAACTGTGAGTCACTCTGAGACTTCATTGCAATTATATTCAAAGCACAGAAACACAAAAACCAAAAATCTGATACATATAAATGTGAAAAATTCTCTGCTAAATTTTCAATGTATTATTGCCAAAACATAATATTTGGAAAAATATGTCCTTGAGAAAACATACAACTAACCCTAAATATTGGTCAAAATAACGGGATGTTAAGATTTTAAAAAAATAAGACACTCACCAACCATGATTGAAGACTCACAGTGATAATAACCATTACTTTGTTTTTTCTTCTCCATGGAACAAAGATCTATGCGGTATAATGTTTCTTCTCCAAATTCGTGGTTGATAAATGTTTCATACCACTTGGGGTCTATCTGTTTCACTCCCTTGAAACAACAAAACAAAAATCACATCAATCAATCATCCCTCCTAGGAAGCTGGTTCATATCTACCTCCTTCTTACAACCTAATATTACCTTTTGGGATGCCGTATTTCCTACTAGCACTTGAAATTGGATACCACAAAATTGCAAAGTTGTTTTTAAAGTCTCCCTCCCTAGCCTGAGTTGTAGTTTAAAAGCCTTCAATTAAAGAGGACTGATTTAAATTGGCAGCATTGGGAATTTCTTACATGTTGGGCTTCAGAACTACTAAAGCATGTCATAGTGCAATTTGAGATACCAAAGACAGAGTGATCCTCTACAATTACACTGGAAAAACAGAAGAATTTTCAAAATGTGACATGAATCTGAACAGTTTATAGAGGGGAAAATAAGATGGGTGCCGGTTTTAAACTCCTTGTATAAACATGACCTAAAACATACATGTTACTTGAATTGGGACTCTTCTGTCTCTCCTTAGACTTGTCTCAAAGCAGGAATGAACAGCTAGCTGTTCACAAACTACAGAGAGATGCTATTTATTGGTTTCTCTGCAGTTTCCCTAAGCCTGGGAAATCACGTCTCCATGTCCCCTCCACCACTCAGACTCGGAGGACCAAAACACTGAGATGAAGCTAAAACTTGAGATGAAGCTAATTACAATACAGTCTCAATTTTCACTGACAAAAACTAATTATAGAAACGTTTCAAGTGGTGATATGAGGACATACAGTTTTGTTTTCACATTTTTCTGTACAATTTTGTATGACAATGGTCTTGAGTATCACCTCACGGCTTAACCTTTATAGTAAACACATCAGTAGGCAACGCACAGATGTGCAGATTACTTTTGTCCCGCAGTACTCCATCATGTACAAGTTTACTACTGTACCCACTCGATTCTATACTGTTGGGTATTTAAGATGCTCTTTTTAGTGTTGCATTTTTTGTTCTATGTTCAAAATCAGGATCCTGATGCTCTCCTGTCAGAGCATTTCCCAGCTTAGTTAACAGTTAACAGCGATTCTATTCTGATTACCCAGGCTGAAAGCTGTGAGGTTACCCCTCACTCACTCCCTTTCAATCTGTGTCTGCAACACATCCCATTCTAGCCACTCACTATGACCTCTGTCCAGGACGTCCTCATGTCTGCAGTACCCTGGACGACTGCAGGGGCTCCTATTTTCCCACCACCACCTCCTCAACAGCCAGGGCAATCTTGTAACAATGCGGCAGGCCAGCTCACTTCTCTTCTCAGAATCTCTACAAGGGTGCTTGTTTCTGCCACAGGAAGAGCCCAGCTTCCCATACGGACCACGAAGTGCTGTTCTGCCCACTGCTGTGGCCTTGGCCTTTCCAGGCCTTGGACACCTCTCACCTCCTCCTCTCTGCCTCTCTGCACACAACAGGCACAAGTCCACCTTAAAGTCTCTGTGCCGCCTGCAGCCTATACCCCGCCCCCGAATACCCTCATGGTGCATCCCACCTTTAATTCCTGGCTTGAACATTTCTTTCTTAATAGAGCCTTCCCAGGCCACCCCATTTTTTCTGCTTCCTGCCACAGAGGTACTCCCCATACTTAGCTCTTTATACTTAGGCATACGTTTCCATAGCATCCACTGTTTTCTACTTGGCTATGCAATTTACTTATTCATTACTTGTATTTTTCATTGGCAATTTCTGCCTTGGCCAATACAATGCAAGCTGCACAAGGCAAAGGACTTTTCTGATTCTCAGTCACTACTTTCAGTGCTCACAGAACAGGAATCTGAGCACTAACATGAGCAGTGCTCAATAAGCAACTGTCACAAATGCCAGGGAGGACACAGTCTCCAGAAGGACATAATTAACCACATCAAAAGCAGCAGCCATCAGGCTAAGGACCTGTCAGAATATGAGTGCAAATCCTGCTGCGGACACTGTCCAGCTGTGTTAATCAGCTTCTTGCCACTGAGGATAAATCAGTATACAAGAAGGAAAGGTTTATTTGGGCTCATGGTTTCAAGGTTTCTGTCCACAGTCAGTTGGCCCCATTGGTTTGGGCCTGCAGGTGGGCAACAGAGCAGGGAAGGAGCAGGAGGCAAAGAAAAGCTGCTCACCTCCAGGAAGCTGGGAAGCAAAAAAAGAGGAACATGCTGGTTCCCCACGTCTCCTCAAGGGCACCCAATGACCTAACTTCCTCCCTCTAGGCCACGCCTCCTGAGTTCCAATCAACCACCCACATTGCCACAGGCTGGGGACCAACCCCTCAATACAGGGTTTCAAGTGGCATTTCAGAGTCAAAGCATAATATCAGCTCTGCCCTTTCCTTTCACTGCCCTTTCCTTATCAGGAAAGTGAGGTCAACACAGAACCTACCTCAAGGTATTACGTGGCATAAATCACTTACTTTATACAAGTGCTTAGAACAGTAAAATGTAGGGGATATTTATACACACATGCGGTGTGTGCATGGCCAGTATGACACTGGTGAACCAAGAAGTAATTTCAGTCAATAAAAGATTTCAGGAATAAGGAAAAGTCTGGGTAAATGGAAGCTGAGCATTCCCTTTTAAATATTTCTTCACTTGTGTGTGTGTGTGTGTGTGTGTGTGTGTGTGTGTGTGTGTGTGACAGAGAGAGTGAGAGAGAGAGAGAGAGAGAGAGAGAGATTCTGTCTGTCTGTCTGTCTACAGGGAAGTAAGTAGGACACAAGAGTTTCTTCAGACCAGACAAAAGACTAGTGATAGTTTAGCAGACATACAAGGCTTTCAGTTTTCAAGATCCTGATGCAAGCATCAACTAGCCACTGTATTCTCCATTTTATAAAATGTTATTAAAAAAGGAAAAGAAAACAGGGAAACACGAGAGAGCCTCTAATCTGCTAAGCTAGCTGAATTCTAGCACAAGGTAAGCAGCAACCATCTTGCAAGAATTCTTCACAGATGACTTCAACCCGAGTCTTAAGCAATTAGCTTTTATTAGCAAGTGAAATGGAATTAATTCCATAACTCCTAATTTATAGAGGAAGCTGTGGTTTAAAAACTCATAGGGACTCAGGAGGCACCAAAGTCATTTTCCCCGGTCAGAGATTATCTTTAATAATAAAGGATCTAGAAATAGATAAGAGTTTGCTGTATCTCATATATATTATAATATCAGTGTGGTCTTTGTTCTCTGCAGCACGTTTTCTTGGGCAATATATTTCTTTTCTAATAAAATCTATCTGAATTTGTCTCACTATGCAGCTGTAGCAGGTGGCATTTTTCTTTCACAGTAAGAGAAAGAATTGTAATTCTGAGAAAATAAGTGAGTACCTCAGACTCAGATATTATTCAGGGTAAGGATAAGAAGGTTCTTATTTTCTTATGGAATCTATTGGGCTGCCAAAACAGCCTCACAGACATCATCCTTCACGGTTGTACTTTAAAGCTGGGGCGGCGGGTGATGACATTATACTCAGGTTCAGAAGCCCCAAGCCATCCTCTGCTTCCTTTCCTCATGGGGCAAACCTGCCAAGACACCCAGTCGTTTAAAGATAAATGGAGGCATTAACGCATGACTAGAGCTCAAAGAACATCACAAAAATGGCTAAAGCCAGGGGAATCTGATGAGCAAATGCTAAGGGATTTGCAGTTATTTCAAATGCAGAGGAAATATGTGGGCTATCTTCCATGACACCATGCCAGGGGTGCTGTAAGCCTAGAATCTGAGGTACTGTGGGTAACAGGCTAGTAATATGTTATTTCTGCCTGGAAACTAACAGAGACAAGGTATACTCTTAAGGGCTTCACATTTGTAATGAGGTATCAGTTATGCCACATAAAATTAAAAGAAAAAAAATAAATATAGGCTAGCAGACTTTGAAACAAGAAATTAGGGGAAAGAAACGCCAAACAGAAAGCTTCCAAGATTGTCTTCATTACTAGAAATTACTCAGATTTTACCTCACTTAGGCCACTTTCAGTCACAGTGCAGAAAGAATTATCACTGATATTCAAAACCACTTGATAACCTTTGATACAATGTACCATGAAATTGTGAAGCATTTCATTCCTGATTGTAATTTGGTACCCAAACAGCCAACCCCTGAAAATAAAAAAAGGCTACTGAGAACATGGTAAGTATTTTTAGAATCATCTAATGGCTGACTCTGATAAATAATGGAAATTATTTACTCAGGAAGCACTCACAACATAATTTACATTTAGCTAAATGATGCACATAATTTAATATGTGCCAGAGAGGGCTCAGGCTTATATTACTATGCATCCAGCTCTATATTTAATACAGGAAGTACACAGAACCATGAAACAAAAATCTGCATCAGCTAATAATCAGAAAGTAAAAATCACTTAAAGTTCTTTTTTTTTAAATTTTTTTGGTCTTCTTGAGATAGGGTCTCACTATGCAGTTCAGGCTGGCTTGAGTTTACTTTGTAACCCAAGATGGTCTCAAACTCACATTGCTCCTTCTATGCCTCCGCAGCCTCCTAAGTGCTGGGATTGCAAGCATGCACCACCATGCCTGGTTCATTAAAATCCTGAAAGATAAGACACGTATTGCTCATCTTTATCTTCTATAACAAAGTTACTGTTATCAGAAGGCTGCTACAAAGTTATTAAGAAGGCTGAGATTTTTTATAATAGATGATAACCTTATTGTTACTTGTTATAACCACCATTTATACAGCCTATATATAAAACTTATTCATTCTATTGTTGATAGGCTTATCATTACTGAATCTCTGCTTTATTTCCCAACAGTCTGTTCCTGTCACATAAGCAGCTGTAAAAAAAATACACGTCTCCTGTGGTAGTTACTTAAAACCAAAATTAAGAATGTAAATTAAGAGCCAAACCAGACCCGCGTGTCATTTTTGGCATCAGCTCATTACAGGCCAACAGTGAACTTTGATATTTATTTTCATAAGTGGAAAAAAGCTGCATTTTATTGTACGTTGGTTAAAAAATTAAAATTGTTTTCAGCGATCTCTGTCCCTAGTGAAAATCTGTATGCTGGAGCTT